CAAGCATTATTACTCCCTCTTTTGTTTTTCTCCTACCATCCTTTTTCTTCCCACCTCCCCAATTCCTCCCTCCTCCCCCCAAAGTTGTAAAGCTTGTTTTCAACATAATGTCTTGTACATCTCATTGTTACAATGGGTTATCCTGTATCCTTATTTCAGCATTTTATTTCCCTTTCCCTCCCCAAATTAGAAAAATGTATATATAAGATTCAGGACACCAGAATCAAACACAGTAAAAACAGGGGTTATCCATGGGGGGAAGAACATACAAAAGAAACAAAAAAAATCACGGAATACATTATAAATGTAAGCATTATGCCCACCTTTGGTCCTCAACTCCACCCAGACCTGAGAGCTCCTCCCAGCCCTGGAGTTCCAGCCGTACAGCTGGCCCCTCCCTCTCTCTGCCCAGACCCACCTGAACTCCATCTACCTCACTTCCTGCCCCCAGACTCCCCTGCTACCTGGATAGGGCCAGGCACCATGTGCTCCCTCTTGAGGGAAATATGGCTCCTCTAATAAATCTTATAATAATCTTTCTCCTGTGCCTGCCTGCCTCTGCGTGGTCTCCTGGGATAGATGTGATGGATCGTACAATAAGTACATTAAAAACAACAGCAAGAAAGATAAAACCTCTTGTGTCCCTATTTTGGGGTTTATTTTGCTTAGCATCATCTTATATGGTCATATGTACATAGTTTTTGACCTTTTCTGCTTGTCCTAGACATGTACTAGTTATTGCAGATAAGGGAAACCATGGGACCTATGTTTCTTTGGGCCTGGCTTACTTCACTTAATATAATTTTTTCCAGGTCTTTCCATTTCCTAACAAGTGGAACGGTGTCATTCCTTCAGATGGAGTGTAGAATTCGTGTGTGTGTGTGTGTGTGTGTGCGCGCGCGTGTGCATGCACACACCACATTTTCTTGATCCATTCATCTACGGAGGGTTGGTTCCATATCTTAGCTATGGTGAATAATGCTGTGATAAACATAGTTGTGCTGGTAGCTAACTTAGTATGGCCATGTTTGTGATCATTTGGGTAAATGCCCAAAAATGGGATTGAGGGGTCATAGGGGAGCTCTATGTGGAGTCTTTTGAGGAGCCTCTATACTGCTTTGCAAAGTGGGTGAACAAGTTTACACTCCCACCAACAATGCAGTAGGGTTCCCTTCTGTCTACATCCCCTCCAGCATCTGTTGTTATTAGATTTCTTGATTATAGCCATTCTAACTGGGGTGAGGTGGAATTTCACTGTTGTTTTGATTTGCATTTCTTTTATGGCTAGAGAAGTTGAGCATTTCTTCCTGTGCCTATTGGCCATTCTTATTTCCTCTTCAGAGAAGTCTCTGTTTAAGTCTTTAGCCCACTTGTTAATGGGGCGGTTGTTTCTTTTGAGGATTTGTTGTTGGGGGATTTATCCTTCCCTTTCTCAGCACTAACAACAATGTTAGTGCTGGTGGCTTATACCTGTAATCCTAGCTACCTGAGAGTGTGGTTTGAGGCCAGCGTAGACAGAAAAGTTTTTAAGATTCTATCTCAATGAAAAGAAGCTGGGTGTGTTTTTATCTCAGTTATGATGGCAAGCCTAAAATAGGAGGATCTATGAATGGTCCATGTACATGCCTGGGCCGGCAGTAAGATGCTATCTCTGAAATAATTGGCACCAAAAAGGACTATAAACATGGTTCAAAGGTATAGTATGGCTGGGTGCTGGTGGCTCACGCCTGCAATCCTACTCAGGAGTCTGAGATTTGAGGATCACAGTTCAAAGCCGCCAGCCCGGACAGGAAAGTCCATGAGTCTCTTATCTCTAATACACTACCAGAAAACCGGAAGTGGCACTGTGGCTCAAGTGGTAGAGCATTCACCTTGAGCTAAAGAGCTGAGGGACAGCACCATGGCCTAGAGTTCAAGCCCCAAGACTGCCAAAAATAAAAAAAGGTTGAGTTCCTGCCTGGCAATTATGAGGCCCCGAGTTAAAAACCCAGATCAAAAAGAAAGAAAATACCTCCTAGTTTCTTCCAGTTGAGAGGCAGTATAATATAGTGTTGGAGGATATAAAGTAGAGAACAGTTTGCTAGGTTTAAAACTTGATATGATCTAGCTATTGGTCCTGGAGCAGGTACAGAATTATTTTTGTGCTCACTGGGTGGAGTTTTTGGGAAATAGTAAATGGACTTATATGTTTAAGTGCTTAGAACAGCGCCAGCACATTGTAAGTCCTCAGTAAATAATAGTCCCTTTTACTTCTTTCCCTGCCTAGTTTTGTGCCACTTATACTGTTGGTGAACACAATGACCTTCTCTCCATTTCTCACTTTCCAACAATATATGTGACTGTTCCCTATGCCTGGGTTACTATTCCCTTTTTCCTCCTTTTGCCTAACTGTTGTTTCTTCTTATACTCAGCTTTTTTTTTTTTCAGGAATATGGTCAGTGACTTCTCAATTTAGGTTAGATCTGACTTCATATTTTATCTTAGAACCTAATACTTTTCCTTCATAACTCTTTTTTTTTTGTTTTTTTTTTGGGTCCGGTCGTGGGGCCTGAACTGTGGGCCTGGGCGCTGTCCCTCAGCTCTTCAGCTCAAGGCTAGTGCCCTACCACTTTAGCCACAGCGCCACTTCCAGCTTTTTTCCTTTTGCTTATGTGGTGCTGAGGAATGGAACCCAGGGCCTCAGGCATGCAAGGCAAGCACTCTACCACTGAGCCACCTTCCCAGCCCCCTTCATAACTCTTTAAATAATTGTTTTAAAATAATTTGCCCAATTCCCCAGTTTACCATAATAAGCCTCATGAAAGCAGGGGCCATCCTCTCATTTTACTTCCAATTCCTTAAATAGTGAATGGTAATTAGATGGTATTGATAAGTATGAAGGTAATGAAATGAATTAGTAGATGAAGTGTTGCTGTTCAAATGCTTGGGGTAGAAAATTAAACCATGGGACGGTAACTTGGCTTTAAATATCAGTCTGTTTTTTATTGAGCTCTTTATATGAGAAAGTGTAGGTTTGATTGCTTATAATGTATGATATATTTGGGAGGAGGACCAGCATTTATTTAAATTGGAGAGTGACAGTTCTGATAGCTATTAAAGGCTGAAAGGGTCTTTACCTCATTTTATTTGCTATGATAATATATGAGCATAGCTAGAATAGAGTGAATATGGTAAAAATAGATTGTTGACATGAAAATAGAGCAAATGAAACCTATTGAGTCTGTATTAGGAAAGGATAAGGGAAGTAAGGAGGATATAGAAGGGAGAAGATTTATTGAAATACATTGTGTACATGTTACAGTAATATCACAGTAAAATCCATCCCTGTGTATTTCATGTTTACTATATCCATATTTACATCCAAAGCTATTGTGCTTTAGGTAGCTGATATCTTTGTAAGGAATATATTAAAACCTTGACAAACTTTAAATTAATGATTGAAGCTGTTTATGAGAACCAATTACCGAGGAATGCAGTAGCACTCAAATCTCTTAAAAGGATGTGGAGTTTAATTTTGTAGAATGTCACTCTCAAAGCTACTCTATAAAGTACCTATCCTACTTTTATAGTTTTCTTGGTTTATTGCCCTTACAGTTAGTTCATGATCATGCCTCCCTATAGCAAATCCTTTTTAATTTACTCTTTGTAATTTATCAGGCATGAATAAAAATACTGTTGTTATTTTGCTTGGGTACAAAACAAGAGTAAATAGATTAATCCATTCTGCAATGTGAGTGAACCTCAAAATCATGCCCAGTGAGCTGGGCACCAGTGGCTCATGCCCGAAAAGCTGGAAGTGGAACTGATGGAAGTGGAACTGTGGCTCAAGTGATAGAGTTGAGCTAAAATGCTCAAGGACAGTGCACAAGCCTGAGTTCAAGCTTCAGAACTGGTACCTCTCTCTCCCCCTGCAAAATCATGCCCAATGAAAGAAACCAATAGAAAAGAACACATATTATTCCATTTATTTGAAATGTTCAGACAAAGTAGATTAGTGGTGTTTGCACTCAGGGATGAGTCTGAGGAGGAGCTGCCACATGAATATGATGCTTTTCAGGAGAATTGATATATTCCGAAGTCAGTTTGATGGTGATTACATGCTATGTAAATTTACTATTAGATTTATATTTATTGTGTATTGTATATTATATTAATATTATATATTATTATACTATTAGATTTATATTTAAAATAGGAAATTTTGGTATGTGAATTATGTTTCAAACAAGTTATTTAAGAACGAGTGCAAGCTGGGTGCCAGTGGCTCATGCCTGTAATCCTAGCTATTCAGGAGGCTGAGATCTGAGGATCCAGGTTCAAAGCCAGCCCGGGCAGGAAAGACCCATGAGACTCTTATCACCAATAAGCTACCAGAAAACCGGAAGTGGAGCCGTGGCTCAAGTAGTAAAGAGCTAGCCTTGAGCTGAAGAGCTGAGGGACAGTGCCCAGACCCAGAGTTCAAGCACCATGACAGACAACAGAAAAAAAAGAATGAGTGCAGAACTTATTTTGGAAAGATTCTATTTATAATTGAAGAACAATATATTGATAAGTTTAGTTCTGCATAATATTCTATAGAAATGAAATGGAAAACTAGATAAAGATATGATATTTTGAATTGTATTTATTTGGTAAGACAGATTTGAAAGGTAACCCTACCCTTGGAACTGATTAGGACTGGGAATTTTTATGGAAAGGAATCAAGGTACAAATTATAGTAATTTTAATTTTAGAGGGTAGGATTCATATCCATATTGATTTGTTGTAATCTTTAAATATCTTATCAAAGCTTTTGATAGCTTCCCTCTCTCCTTCCCTCTCCACTTCTTTCTACATGCACCAGCACACACAGAAGTTTCTGTTTAAAAAAAGTTGTTAGTTCCTCCCCCCCCCCCCCCGCCTCGTAATCTTTTTTTTCCTCTTTAAATCTGTCAACCAACCCTGTCAAATGCCATGTTGAGATTCAGGCTATCGTGTGTTCTTTTTGTCTTTTTAGCACTTTGATTTGGACCTTGATTGCGCACTGGGCAAACGCTTGAAAATTGCAAGTTACCTGAGGACCATAGCAGAACCACAAAGGCTTTCCTTTGTATGGGGAGGAAGTATCCCATGTGCTGTGGAGATGAGTGGAGAGCAGCAGCCTGATGCAGGTATTGGTACTGATGAACATAATTTATTCTATAGGGTGCAGAATTATATTACTTGTCTTCATTGTATCATCTGACTTTCTACCACTTAAGTTCTTCCAAGTCATTAGTTGTTTTTCATTGCCATCTCCTGACACTTGACAAATACTACCAGTACTATGGAATATTACTAATAATGCTTGCTTAAAAATAATTTTTATGAACAAACTTAAAAGTAAAATTTTAATTTTGATGGATCCTTTTTTTATGGTACTGGGATTTGAATTTAGGGCTTCATGTTTGTAAGGCAGACCCTCTACCATTTGCTTTAGTTATTTTTTATATATGATCTTGCATTTTTTTCTCCCAGACTGGCCTCAGACTATGCTCTTTTGCCTCTCAGATAGCTAGAATAGACAGGTGGGTAACCACCATACCCAGCGATTTTTTTGTTTTTTGTTTTTTTTAACATTAAAATGTGATCTCAGCCGGGCGCTGGTGGCTCACGCTTGTAATCCTAGCTACTCAGGAGGCTACGATCTGAGGATCATGGTTCAAAGCCAGCCCGGGCAGGAGAGACCGTGAAACTCCTATCTCCAATAAACCACCAGAAAACCGGAAGTGGCGCTGTAGCTCAAGTGGTAGAGTGCTCGCCTTGAGCTGAAGAGCTGAGGGACAGTGCCCAGGCCCAGAGTTCAAGCCCCATGACCAACTAAAAAAAAAAAAAAAAAATGTGATCTCACTTTTTGCCTCAAGTTGAATTCTCCCAATTTCCTTGTGAGTATCTCAGGTTTATTATTCATTTTGATTTATTTGAAATAATTTGTGGGTTTGAGGAAGCTATGAAGATAACATTGATAGTTTCTACAGTCCCTCCACTTAGTTTATCCCATTCCTCATACAACAGTAATACAATATAAAATCCAGTTGATATTGGTATAAAATATACTTCCATGTAGACTCTTGTAACTGCCTATCAAGATATAAAACTATTATATTGTCGTGAAGTTTTCCTATGCCTCTTCTTTCTTCCTAACTTCTTTAACCTCAGCCAACGTTCATCTATTCTCTATCCTTATAATTTTAACATTTATAAAATCAGTATATTACCATGGTGATTTTTTGCTCATTTGTTTCAAAATAATAGCCCTGCCATACACTGGAGACTCAGGGTCTGTAATCCTAGCTACTTAAGAGGCTGAGATCTGGAGCTTTGAGGCCAGCTTGGGTAGGATAGTTTAAGAGACTCCATCTCAAACTTACTAGAAAAAAGTGAAGACAGGCATCATGGCTCAAGTGATAGAGCACCAACTTCGTGAGCAAGCTGAACAAGCCTGAGTTGAAACCCTAAGACTACAAAAAAAAAGAGAAAAGAATAGCCTTAAAATAGGTTGAAGTCTTAATTTGTCATTACTTTTTATTGCTAATAGTATTTCATGCATGTATTCTAGTATATTAACTACTTACCTATACATTTTGGCATTTTCTAGTTATGGCTAAAATAAGTAGATATGAATAATCACATATTTTTGAGAGTTTCTTTTTTTAAAATATGACTATGATTTGTAGGTGGATAAATGCCACAAAGTATTTTTAGGTTATAGAGTTAATAAAGAAATTATCAGACTACTTTTCAGAGTGGTTGTACCATTATTACCAGTGGCAGACATATAATATCTCTGCATTCTTACTGCTATTTGATTTTTGTGCTCATCATGGCGCTTGAACTCCGAGTGTGAGTGATGTCCCTGAGCTTTTGTGCTTACGGCTAACTCTCTACCATTTTAGATACAGCTCTACTTTCAGCTTTTGGTGGTTAATTGGAAATAGAAGTCTTACAGACTTTCCTGCTCAGGCTCACTTCCAATTGTGATCCTCAGGCTTCATCCTCCTGAGTAGATTGGATTACAAGTACCAGCCACCAGCACTTAGCTTAAAAATGTCATTTTTATGTAAGACATTCTGCTAGCAGGACAGTAACAGCTCATCATGCTCTTAATTTGTACTTTCCTAATGACCCTAATGTTGAACATCTTTTTATGTGTGTATTTGGTATCCCTATATTCTCTTCAGTGAAATAGCTCTTCATATTTTTGGCTCATTCTTAATTAGTTGGCTTTATTTTTTTTAACAAGGATTTTTTTTCTAAATTGTAGTATTTTTAATGTCTTATCTGCAAAGATAATTACTTGTTGCTCTAGATGTTACACAGTAACATTTTATTTGAGTCACACATGGACACTTTACCTGCTACTATATTTCTTTATCCTGTTAGTTATAATACAGTTGTGTTAAATATTTTTTCTAAATATTATAGGAACCATTTCAGACATTGTTAACATTGTTGCTTTAACTATTGAACATAATTTTTAAAAGGAAATATATTTTTCAATATTTTTACTTTTCTCATTGTTATTTATTCTTGCCTGATATGCTAGGATTGTTTTCTTTTGTCCTTTGCCTTTTGCTTTCGGTATATATATATATATATATATATATATATATATATATATATATATATAT